TGCGTGGGGTGTGGGATATGGTCATTTGGGTGCGTGCAGCTTGGGTTTCTGCTGGAGTGAGAAATGGTGACTGGATGGGGGTCATTGCTGTGTGGTTTCGATTTTGGACAGTGGAGTTGGTGGTCTGGTGGTGACCTTGGTGGCGTCGATTTTGAGCTGTTGGTAGTGGACTTGGTAGTTTAGGTGGTGAGTTGGTCTCGTGATGGTGTTAGGCAGTGTTGTATTGTTGGTGTTTTTCAGTAGCTTTGAGGTGGTGCTGTTGGTGGTTTCCTGTTGATGCTAGAAATTCATATTCTAGCATCAATGGTGAAATCACGGTGGAAAGGATTGAGGGAGAGAGAGGCTTACCAAAATGATTGCTAGAATGGTGAGGAGAGGAGGGAGGTGGAGTTTCTATGAATAGAAAAAAATCAGGGCACAATTCCCTAGGAAGCTAATTGGGTCAGGAAATTGGGTTGTAAATATTTTCAAATTTGGGCATAAGGTAATTGGGCTGAAATGCTTTCGATTTGGACTTATTTAGTTGGATCTATGGAATCGGACTTTAAGTAATTGGACTTTAAACAATTATAGGATATATATATATATTTATCACTTAAATTTACTAAAATTCGGATTTAAAACGAAATAATAAGAAATTGATACTTTAAAATTATTCGAAAATGAATCCGATTCGAAAAAATTTATATTTGTTCATAACGGCTAGACGAACACGTTTTCACTTTAACGTTTTCGCTTTAGAAAACAGTAGACGAATCCCAAATTTCATTACTATCAATCAAATCCATGTATCCAAAATTTATCGGAGGAGACGGCGACAGTGTCGTAATTGGATGGTTCTCTGGATCGATTTTGGGGTTGGGGTTGGGGTTGGGGTTGGGTGGAGAATCTTCTTCTTCTTTTCAATATTCTTATTTAATGTTTATAACATCATTTTATCTTGAATTATATAAAAGTTACATTTTACACCTTCTACATTGATCAAAAAAGGTCAATTTTTGTAATGGTCAACTAATGGTCAGACCCATCCAATTGAATTCAATGAGTGAATTTTTAAAAGATTTGGTAACGTATATGACACAAATGAAAAGTTTAGATGAAGTCTATTACTAAATGAAATGTTGGTATCGTA